AGCCAGCCTCCGGGCACCTGGGGGGATAGTGGCCCCGGCCCCAGACTGTCTAGGAGCGCCAGCCCCGGCCCGCTGCGCGTGCGGTGAGGTTTGTCTCCGCCTCTACACACCCACCCCGCTTCCTGGGCCGTGACTCCCTCCTGTCAATCAGGTGTGGACGGGAATGTCACGCAGTTTCCTCGCCTGGGATGGAAGCTGGAGGTGTGGGCGCCCCTGCGGGTTCCGAACGCCTCGATCACAAGTCAACCCCTCCCCACCCCGCGCTGGCCCTCACGTCTCCCCGAGCCTCCGAGGTCCCTCCCACGCTGCCCTCTACAGAGGAACCGGGTCCGCGGCGGGACTGCCCACCCTCTGCCACTTGAGGGTTGGGTGACGATGGGACGTGAGGCCGATCTCCGACCTTCTGGAAGAGGTGGGGAAGTGACAGATCGATGTGGGACACGGTGGGAGCCGGTTGGACTCTAAGGGGGCGAGAGAGTGTTGGGGATTTAAGGGACCCACCTAGTTTCCGAATTCTTCCCCCATTTCTTCAGAACGTGGAGGTCTAATGGTGACCGTTCTTCTCCAGTCAGAGCTCGTCTGCGCCCCCTCCTTTCCAAATGCATGTAAGTTCTGTCCTGAAATCCGGAGGTCACCCAGAATCCCGGCGGCAACACCTGAAAGGAACAGGACGGATAGAAGCGGAGGAGCCAGAGTGAGCGCTGCGTGTGGGTAACCGGGTTCCGGGGCAGCCAGGCTGGTGCCAGGAGACAGAAGCGGCGAAAGCCCCGGGAGGTACCAGCCGCTCACCTCCATGTCAGGGACCTTTATTGCCCGCACCTTTCCGCCAGCCTCGCCCGTGCGCCCGCAGGTCCCGGGTGCTGGCCACCAGGGGCGACCGAGAACGGGAAGGGATGCACCCTACTGCAAATTAGGGGAGTAGAGGGAGGTACCCTGTCCGTCTTCATTGAGTGCGCCTACCACGGAGTTTGCAGCTGGTAGGACTAACTCAGGGAGGAACAATTTTCCCGAGTGAGGACCTGCCATAAGTTGTAACATTTTAACCCACTTGGAGCCACTTGCCTTAGCGAATCTATACACGTGTGGGTCAAGATGTGATGGCACAGTTTTGTCATCACCCCTGGCCAGGTATCCTTTCAGATTTTATTCTTGGTTTCCTTTCCTGCTCTTCCCACCCACCACTTGTCACACCTCTAGTCCAGAAGTTCTCTGTTTCTCCTCCTCTTGCCCTATTACAGATTAATCTGTAGTTTATTACTATTTGGGAATGTCCTAAAACTCCATACATTTCTATTATTTTGCCCAAAATTAAATTGGGAGAAGAGAACTACTGTATTTCCTTAAGCTCACCAGACTTTTATTTTATAGAAGCCTACTGAAGAAATAAAAGTTGAAAACTTGAAAATAATATTCAACTCAGAAGACCTTTACTTAAGTTTTCCACTTTATTCAGTTGTAATTGGTATATAATAAACTGCCCATAGTTCAGTTGTACCATTTGATAAATTTTGATGCCTATATTCTCCTGTGGAGCTATCTCAATCAAGATAATAACCCATTCCATCAGCCCAAAAGTTTTCTCATGTTCCTTCTGTAATCTGTCCTCCCTTTACCACTAAAAATCCCCCCAGGCAACCATTGATATTCTTTATATAACTGTAGATAAGTTTGCATTTCTAAATATATATATATATTGCATATGGAATTCTATAGCATGTACTATTTTTTTCTGTAGCTTCTTCTGAGCAAAATTCTTTTGAGATTCTTCCATGCTGTTGAGTTCATCAGTAGTTAATTCCTTTTCATTGCCTGCTAGTATTCCATTGTACAAATGTGCCACGAATTTTTTATCCATTCCTGCATTGCTGGACATTAAGTTGTTTCCAGGTTTGGGCTACTACAAATAAAATAGCTATGAACATTTTTGTAGACTTTTTATGTGGACATATGCTTTTATTACTTTTGGGTAACTATCTAGGAGTGGAATAGCTGGGTCATATGAAATATGAATATTTAACTTTTTAAGAAACTACTAAATTGCACCAAAATAGTTGTACTACTTTCCATTCCCACAACATTATATGAGTTCTAGTTGTTTTACATCCATACTAACACTTATCATATTACTTGTTTAAATTTTATACAATGGAGGATATGGGGGGGGGATAAATGGTGATGAAAAGACTTGACTCACAAAAGAGTGTACCGATGATGTGCTGTTCAATTGTGCATCTGAAATCTGTATAATTTTGTTAACCAGTATCATCCCAATAAATTCAATACAAGGGGAAATAGGTAAATAAATTTTAGCCAACCTAATAGATGTGTAGAAGTAGGTTAATGACTAATGATGTTGTCATATGGGTCCCACTGTGGGTTAATACCTAATGGCAAGCATATTTTCATGTGCTTATTTGCTATCTGTAGATCTTCGTTCATGAAGTGTCAGTTCAAATCTTTTGCTCATTTTTACTGAATTGTTTTATTATTCTTAAGTCTTGAGAGTTCCCTATATATTAAGCACTCAAAAATTCATCATGTTGGCGTAAGCTTTAGGTGACAAAACTTTTAAAGTATATTCAAACTCTGTTAATGTAGTCAGCACAATAAAGAATTACAATGTTTAAAAGTAACTTTTAATTGCCCTGACCGGTTTGGCTCAGTGGATAGAGCGTCGGTCTGCGGACTCAGGGGTCCCAGGTTCGATTCTGGTCAGGGGCATGTACCTTGGTTGCGGGCACATCCCCAGTGGGGGGCGTGCAGGAGGCAGCTGATTGATGTTTCTTTCTCATCGATGTTTCTGACTCTCTATCCCTCTCCCCTCCTCTCTGTAAAAAATCAATAAAATATATTTTAAAAAAACTAACTTTTAATAGCTTAATAAATATCAAGAATCATGACATGTCTATTTCTTTAAACTTTTATTTTAAAGAATTTTTAATAAAAATTTATATGTATTAAAATGTATTGAGATAACATAAATGACTTTGGAATGTGTTAAAAATTAAAGATGAATTTTATTTACTAAAGTGTATAAGCAGCCATTATTCACCAAGTCTGTGATCCAGTAAAAATTATTTGAATGTTGACTGTGTGCTTAGACACTGTGCTAGACCTGGGAGGTAATGCTCCTTGCTGGCAAGGAGATGGATGACTGGGTAGAGATTATACTGAATGAATCATTGAGTGTTTGGTTTTGTGTGTGTGTGTGTGTGTTTTTTTAATATATATATTTTATTGATTTTTTTACAGAGAGGAAGGGAGAGGGATAGAGAGCTAGAAACATCCACGAGAGAGAAGCATGGATCAGCTCCTTCCTGCACACCCCCTACTGGGAATGTGCCTGCAACCAAGGTACATGCCCTTGACCGGAATCGAACCTGGAACCCTTCAGTCCCCAGGCCGACGCTCTATCCAGTGAGCCAACCCGGACAGGGCAATCATTGAGTTTTTATCTCTGAGATTTTATTATTCCACAGGATTCAAGAAGACCTCAGTTTGTAAATTAAATTGTCATTGTTATTTTTCAGAAGCATTTATTTACAAAATAGCATGGTCAAAAAGAATCAGTTTGTCTGATGAGGTAAATGAACTTTGTCCTTATCAGTTTGTCCTTATAAGGACAAAGTTCATTTACCTCATCGCGCAGGTGCTGTATCAGCTCACACAGAAATCCCAAATAAATTGCGCTGAGCAGTTCTTCAGGCTGTAGCTACATCAGTTGAAAATTCGCTCGGTTGGGCCTAACTCTTCCGCCCCAAGATAAGTCAGAAATGCCAGCATTGCCATATGCTCACCTTCAAAATGTCCTCAGGAAATTGAAGAAAATAGGGAGCTGCAGCATTGCTTAACCTCTATGGATGGCTACATCAATTTAGCCATATAACCTGCTCTCTGTAGGCACAGCTTATAAAATAAACGTATGTAATAGCAAGGAAAGGACTAGCTGTTTAATTAGGGGAAATTGCAGCTGACAGAAGGCATTTGAATGAGTGTCCAAAACATGTTCGCTGAGCACCTGCCTTCTTTCTGACCTGCTAACCATTTGGAGATGATTTACCCCAAGTGAATCAAGTCTGCACATAATTCAATAATTTCAGACAATAAAATAGCTTGAAGTTACCTTTGTGACTAAATAAAGTATTTATTTACCAGTATTTGAATACTACCTTTCCAATGTTTAAGGCAGTCAGAATAATAATATCACTTTTTAAATATTACAAATAATAGCAAGATTAAGATATGTTGTGAATAAGTGTCCAGGAACATTAAATCCAATATTTTAATCAAGTGACACTTTTCTAAGGGATCTTGGGTGGTTCTTTAGGTAAGCCTATTCTCAAGCACTTTTTTTTTGTTTGATAAATAAATTTTATATTCAAGAGACCATTTAGAATACATAATGCTTTCCGTTTCAGAACTTCATATATATATAAGCATACAGAAGAACATATTTCAAATTACATTTAGAAAGTCTTGGGTTGGTTTAGGTAATATTTAGTTTTCCACTATCACAGAGTCATTTGGCTCAACCACTAAATATTCAATAAAGAGACACCATGAACTTGTGAGGATTGGGGAAGGGGTAGATCAGGAAGGTGATCAAACTGAGGATAGTTATCTTACTATGACTGAAACTTTTTGTTGTTGTTTAATGATAGTATTTCAGTTATCTATTGGTGTGTAATAAGCGAATCCAAAACTTAAGCACTCAAATAACAATAGTTTTACTCCTTTTCATGATTCTTTGAGGGAGCCATTATGGGAGGGCTTGGACAAGCAGTTGTGTTCTATGTAGTGTCAGTTGACATCATGAACATGGTTGCTTTCAGCTAAAGGCTGGCTGGTCTGGAAAATCTAAGAAATCTTCTTTATCATGCCTGGCAGCTCAATGCTCTCCTTCCATGTGGCTTTCCTCTTTTCTCTTCATTCAGTTGTTTAGCCAGAACTTCACATCATGGTGACTGGCTTTCCTACAGCCAAAGTGGAGGCTGCCAAGCCTCTGAAAAGCTAGATCTGGAACCAGTTCAATGTCACTTCCACTGTTTCCATTTGTCAAAGCAAATGATAAGGCTAGCCAGCCCACATGCAGGGCCGGAGTGGTGGCTGAGGTGACTTAAAGGGTAGAGCAGCATACACATATTGGAAGGGAAGGAATTGATAGCAGTCATCTTTGGGGACTACCCACTAAAAATAGTCAATTTAATTAAGGCTAAAATAATTATATGTCCCTCATTAAAAAAAAACACCACACACACTGATCTAATTTTTCCACTACTTTTAATTTGTTCTATTTGGAAAAAAAAATAAATCTATATAAGGAATCAGAAGTCTTATAGCATACATTGTAATGAGTAGGATCATGGTAGTAAGCAAGGATTTGTCTTCAAGAATGGCTTTGCTATCTATATGCGAACAAAGAAGGAATAAATAGAAAACATGAAGAATATGCTCCCTGCTTTTAAGCATCAGTTTAATATGCTTAAAATCAGTTTAAGAAAGAGCAATAAATAAGCTATGTCTTGTCATGAGATCATGTGGTATAGACCGATGTGACTAATGCTCAAGAAAAGGCATATTAATGAGAAAGAATAATCATTAAAACATTCCTGGGAAAATGGGACTTAATATTTTTAAATAGTAAAAGGAGAGGACAGAACAATATAGGTAAGGAAATATGAGCAAATATAGAGGTAAAAATAAGTATTGCATATGTTTGTACAGTAGTGAGAAGACCAAAGTATCCAAAGAGGAAGGCTGTAAATTTGGATAGAGAGAAGTTATCTTAAAAGACTTTGTAATTTCAGAGAAAATATGTAAAAGGAGGGTAAGCTAAAGTTATCTCTCTGTCCAGTAGAATGGTCACAAGTGGCTATTTAAGTTTACATTAATATTAAATAAAATTAAAAATGAAGTTCCTCCCTTATATTAGTTACATGTCAAATGCTCAATAGCCCCATATGGCTAGTGGCTACTTCATTGGATAGTACATATTACAGAATATTTCCTTCACATGCTAGAGGTTTATTAGACAGTACTGACAATCTATTCTACTTCCCAATATTTCTGAAATCTATTCACCTTTCACTTCCCCTCTGCCACTCCCCTTAGCTCAGTTTACTTATGTGTTTCACTTGGGTTACGCAACACTCCCTTACCTGTCTCCCTGTTTCCAGTCATGCTTTTCTCCAATCTGCTCCCCATTCTGCAGCTAGAATGCACTTTATAAAACATTCATCTGGTCTTCTCAAATTACTGCTGAAATTACTCATGTCATTCTTTGCCAGGAATATTCCTCTGTGCTTCTTTCCTTAACTAACACTTATTCTTCAGGACCCAAGTTAGATGCCACTTCCTTGACAGAATCTTCTCAAATATCTCTAATCTTCACTATTCTTATCTTTAAAATGATGCTATCATCTATGATACACAGTTGGTGAAAATTAATGATAATGAATGTAACTCAGTGAATGCTTAGCATTTAAAATGAGAGGAGTGTTAACGCTTATGTTGAGAATAATAATTTTGTGATGATGGTTTAAATTCTCTAGCTCTATTTTCTCATGTACCTACCCAAAGTTGCATCCTAAGAAGTGCCACCAATCTGTCAAGTAATCATTTAAAATGACTTACAAAACTCATATGACATATACTATAACTCAGTCGCATAA